GACCGCGCGGGTGGGACGATTGCGCGAACAATGGAGTGAGCAACTCACTGCGAACAGCCATGACCTGTTCCGCGTAAACTGCCTCACATATGTTGCACCTACTTCTGTTCATTGTCCTCAAAGATTGCACACCATTTTAGTACGCTTCCCCGAAACAGCTGGATTCAACCGCCCTGGCGAGGCTGGACCTATCCGTCCAAATCTACACAGTGCCTTTCTAAATGTATCAGTCACAACCGTGCATCCCACAGCCAAAAAGATCCGCGGCGCGTGCCCGTGAGACAAGAAAAGGGCTGTCCCTGGGCACCTGGCCTGATCCCCGCAGCCTCTGTCTTCTCCAGCCGCATGGAGTCTGGGGGGGGGCCCTGGCCCGAAATGGCCAACTCTCTCGGGGCTTCGCGCGTGCCCCCGGGGTTCCCCCGAGCGCCGTCGCCTGACATTCTCGGGGCCACCAGGGGCCCGAGGCGGGCAACGAGGCCCCCGAGAGCTCGCCCCGACGCTCCAAGGGAGCCCCGAGACGCCGCAGGATCGGCCCGAGCCGCCCAGGATGGCCCCCAGCCGGCCCGAGGTGTCTTCGAAACGCCCCAGGAACACCCCAAGAACCCTCCCAAGAGAGCCCCGAGAAGCCAAAACCATCGATTTCCCGCCCAGGTGTCTCAATATTTGGGGCCCTCGGCGTTCGAGCTCCCGACGTTCCGGGGCGGCCGGCGGACCCCCGAGACTGCTCCAAGACGGTCCCGAGAGACCCCAAAGAGGGCCCCCAAACAGCCCAAGAGGGCTCCAAGAAAGCTCCAGGGGCGCCCAAGACGGCCCAAGAGGGTCCACTGACAGTCCCAAGAGGTGCCCAAGAGGGGGAGCACGAACCGAACAACCAAATCTTCCGCCCCAAGGGGCCCCCAGGAGGCTCCAAGGAGCTCCCAGAAGGCCCCCAAGAGGCCCAAAAAGACCACCAAGAGGCCCCCAGGACGCTCCAAAACGGCACCCACTCAAGAGGCCCCAAGACGGCCTCCAAGGTCCCAGAGAGGCCCCCCACGACATCCCACCGAACATCCTAGAGTCCTAGAGGCATACGACCCACAACCCAGGCACGGTGGCGGAATAGGCCGAAGGACTTTAGATGGCATGCCAGTCAGACCTGGTGCCGATTACGACCACCCCATATCCATGTCAGACAATACTGATGCAAGGCATGTTTTAAAAGGGGCAACAGCAGTGTGCGACGCCGCGCGCACGCCAAAATTATACAATGCACAAGATGTCCCAGGTTTTTGATAAAACTCGCTGGAACAAATTACCCTGTGGCGTACCCGACCAATTTGCATCAAGTGGCAAGACTGGCTGGCCCAAATTTGTCAACACAATGACGGTAAACGCGCCGTTATACGTTATGTTTGCTACATGGGATGCGCTCACGCGGTACGATTCACAAGACAACAACATGAGGATGCAGAGTGAGGACCCAGGCTCGAGGAGGACATGGGGGGCTGGAACGAAGGACAAGAAAATAACGCGGCTGAGGGGGGGGGGGGGGCGAACCGTCAGCGCGGCAGCAGCAGAAGGTGGCAGGAGGCAAAGGACGCGACGAAAATGACGGGATGAGACTGCCGAGTGTTGGTTTTGTCGGAAGTACGCTAGAGATGCAGCGCCGCCTGCGCCATGTCGCCGCGGCGCCCGAAAAAATATACTAAAGCTACTGATTCTTGGTGCGAGAATCGACCGAGGCCTAGCTCACCCGCCAGCTCTGCAGCCCCCCAGGGTTGGCGAGAGGTCCTGGTGGCCTGCGTAAGACGTCACCCCGCTGGACCCCCCAGCAACGCCCGAAAGTGGCGACACTCTCGCAGGTCACAGCCCCCCAGGGATGGCCAGGTAGGAGGCAAGCTGGCACGCGGGAAGGAGCGAGATGGGAGGCAGGAGAGAAGAGGAGAGGAGGCGGGGGGGGACAAAAGGAGAAGACGCGCCGGCTGTGCCCTATCCTCAACGAGTACCCAACGCAAGAGGGCGGGGAATAAAGAGCCACCCGTGTTCTGCCATTTGCTCAAGGAGGGCATGCGGGCCACACGTGAGCGCGCGCCGAACCACCGCGCCCCTGCCACCACGGCCAAACTACCACTTGACGTACCCAACCAATTTGCATCAAATGACAAGAAGGGTGGGCCCAAACTTGCCAGGACAATGACAGTGCAGGCGCCATTATACGTCGTGCAAGCTACATGGGATGCGCTCACGCGGCACGATTCACAAGACAGCAACCGAAAGACGAGGAGCGAAGGCCCAGGCTCGAGGAGGACACGGGGGCGGGAGCGAAGGGCAGGAGAAGGATGCGCGCGCGGTCGAACCGTCAGCGCGGCAGCAGCAGAAGGAAGGTGGCAGGGGGCGGTGGACGACGACGAAAGTAACAGGAGGAAACCGCGGAGTGCTGCTTTTGCTGGTAGCACGCTAAATATGCAGCGCTGCCTGCGCCAGGTCGCCACGGCGCTCGAACAAAATACTAAACCTGCCCATCGTGTTACTGCGAGAATCGAGCGAGGCCTGGCTCGCCCGCCAGCTTCCCAGCCCCCCAAAGATGGCGAGAGCTCCAGGTGGTCTGCGTAAGACGTCACCCCGCTGGACCCCACAGCAGCCCTTGAAATTCGCGACAGTTTCGCAGATCGCCGGACTTCGCAGATCGCAGCCCCATAGTGATGGCGAGGTCTCATTTGAGACTGGGTCAGACAGCACTCCGCACGAACCCCCAGCAGCCCTCCAAGGCGGCGACAGTTTCGCAGATCGCAGCCCCACAGCGATGGCGAAGTCTCATCTGGGTTTGGGTCAGGCGTCACTCCGGTGGGCCCCACAAGCAGCCACCTGAGGGATGGCGAGGCATCATCTGAGCATGGGTAATACGTCACTCCGCTGGACCCCCCCCAGCCTCCCCGGCAGCTCTCGAAAGCGGCGACAGTTTCGCAGATCGCAGCCCCACAGCGATGGCGAGGTCGCATCTGGATATGGGTCAGGCGTCACCCCGCTGAACCCCCAGCAGCCCTCGAAAATGGCGACAGGTGCGGAAATCGCAGCCCCCCGAGGGATGGCAAGGTCTCATCTGAATCTGGGTAAGACGTCACTCCGCTCGACCCTCCAGCAGCTCTTGAAAGTGGCGAGAGTTTGGCAGGTCGCCAGCCCCACGAGGGATGGCGAGGTACTATCTGAATCTGGATAGGACGTCACTCCGCTGGACCCCCCAGCAGCCCTCCAACGCGGCGACAGTTTCGCAGATCGCAGCCCCACAGGGATGGATATGGATCAGGCGTCACTCCGGTGGGCCCCCCCAGCAGCCCTGAAAAGTGGCGACAATTTCGCAGATCGCAGCCCCACAGGGATGGCGAGGTCTCATTCGAGTCGGGGTAAGACGTCACTCCGCTGGACTCCACAGCAGCCCTCGAAAGCGGCGCCTGTTACGCAGATCGCAGCACCACAGGGATGGCGAGGTCTCATCTGAATCTGGGTACGACGTCATTCTGCTGGGCCCCCCAGCAGCGCCCGAAAGTGGCGACAATTTCCCAGATCGCAGCCCCCTCGAGGGATGACGAAGTTCCATTTGAATCTGGGTAGGACGTCACTCCGCTGGACCTCCCAGCAGCCCTCGAACGCAGCGACAGCTTCGTAGACCGCACCCCCACGAGGGATGGCGAGGCATCATCTGAATATGGGTAATACGTCACTCCGGTGGAAGCCCCAAGCTTCCCTCGAAACTGGCGACGATTTCATGGATCGGAGCCCCCCGAGGGACGGCGAGATCTGAACTGAATCTGGGTAGGACGTCACTCCGCGGGACTTCCCAGGCGCCTTCGAAAGTGGCGACAGTTTCACAGACCGCGGCCCCCCAGGGATGGCGAGATCTCATCTGAGTCTGAGTAGGACGTCACTCCGCGAGACCCCCCAGCAGTGCTCGAAAGTGGCAGCGATTTCACAGACCGCAGCACCACAGGGACGGCGAGGTCTCATTTGAATCTGGGTAGGATGTCACTCCGCTGGACCACCCAGCAGCCCTCGAAAGTGGCGACAGTTTCACAGATCGCAGCCCCCCGAGGGACGGCGAGATCTGAACTGAATCTGGGTAGGATGTCACTCCGCTGGACCCCCCAGCAGCCCTCGAAAGTGGCGACATTGTCACAGACCGCAGCACCACAGGGATGGTGAAGTCTCATTTGGATCTGGGTAGGATGTCACTCCGCTGGACCACCCAGCCGCCCTCGAAAGTGACGACAGTTTCACAGATCGCAGCTCCCCGAGGGATGGCGAGGTCCCATCTAAATCTGGGAAAGACGTCACCCCGCTGGACCCCAAAGCAGCGCTCGAAAGTGGCGACAATTTCGCAGATCGCAGCCCCCAGGAGGGATGGCCAGATCTCATCTGAATCTGGGAAAGACGTCACTCCGCTGGACCCCCGAACAGCGCTGAAAAGTGGCAACAGATTCGCAGACTGCAACGCTCAAAAGTGGCGAGGTCTCATCTGAATCTGGAGAACTAAATCGTCATTCCGCTGGACCCCCCCAGCTTACCTCGAAAGTGGCAACGATTTCGTACCTCAAACAAAAGTTGTCAAACATCGTCGCCTGACTCTTTTTGATTATTTCTGGATGTTCCTCCTGTAGAAGGGAATGCCCGAATTAACCTCAGGACCCGTTTCCGCCAAGACCCGTCTCCCCTCCTGGCAAGACCTCGGCCTCTCGCCGCAGCGGCCGGAGGAGGAGGAGGAGGAGGAGGAGGAGCAGGAGGAGGAGGAGGAGAAGGAGGAGAAGGGAGGGGAGGAGGAGGAAGGGAGGGGGAGAAGGAGGAGAAGGAAGGGAGGAGGAGGAGGAGGAGGAGAGGAGGAGGAGGAGGAGGAGCAGCAGGAGGAGGAGGAGGACGACTAGGAGAAGGAGGAGGAGGAGGAGGAGGAGGGAGGAGGAGGAGGAGGAAGGGGAGGAGGAAGGGAGGAGGAGGAGAAAAAGGAGGAGGAGGAGGAAGAAGAAGAAGAAGATGAAGAAGAGGAATAAGAAGAAGAAGAAGAAGAAGAAGCGCCCCAGGAGCCGCCGCTGGCGCGCCGCCCCCACGCGCCCCCTACGCGTCCCAAGCCGCCGCGGTGCCCGGCCGCGGGCGCTTGCAGTTGTTGCAGAGCGGGCGGTCCCCGCGGTTCGGCTCCCCGCACGCGGGGCACGCCCAGCGGTCCTTGGAGCCGGCCCTTACTCAGCATCATCATCATCATCATCATCATCATCATCATCATCATCATCATCATCATCATCATCATCATCATCTTCATCATCATCATCATCACCATCATCATCATCACCATCATCATCATCATCATCATCATCATCATCATCATCATCAGCATCATCATCATCAGCATCACCATCATCAGCAGCATCATCAGCAGCATAATAATCATTATCCTCAGCTTCATTATCAGCATTATCAGTATCATCATCATCAGCAGCAGCATCAGCATCAGCATCATCATCATCATCAGCATCAGCATCAGCATCAGCTTCATTATCAGCATTATCGTCATCATCATCATCATCATCATCAGCAGCAGCAGCATCATCAGCAGCATCATTATCCTCAGCATCATCATCAGCATTATCATCATCAGCATCAGCGCCAGCATCATCATCATCATCATCATCATCATCATCATCCTCATCATCATCAGCACCATCAGCCCGGCGCTCCCCAGGGCTGGCCCTTACTTTTCGCCATGCCGGCCGCTACCGGCCCCGGCCGCCGCCCTCCGGGCCTCGAGGCCCTCCCCTCACCGGGCCTCGGGGCCCTCCGCGGGCCCTCCGCGGGCCCCCTGACCGTCCCGGGGCCCTCCGCGGGCCCCGGGACTGTCAGAGAACGACCCGGACATGATCGCGTGGTAAAGAATCACGACGGGAAGTTTCAAGTTTTTCTCGCCGTCTTCGGCCTCTGGGGGCCCTCATACGGGGCCTCGGGAGCGTCAAAAATCATCTCAGGAGGAGAAACGGGTCCTGGGGAAGGGGTCGAGACCTCTGGGGGTCGACGTTTTTCTCTACCTAGGCTCTGCCTAGAAGGGTTCTTACTCGGTAAGCTTAAAGGGCCGGGCAGTGGTCCTCGCCCCGGGCGGTTCCCCTGGCATCCGCCCCGCGGTTCCCCCAGTGACGTTCCCTTAGCTTAGCGTTGCTTATCTCATCTTAGCTTAGCTTATTGTAGTGGCCTCCGGCCAGTGCCACCGATCCGGGGCGCTCCGCAAGATGATGATCAGGATGATGATGAAGATGATGACGAAGACGATGACGACGACGATGGTTATGACAAGGGTGAGGTCCGCTCTGCAGGGGGGGGGGGCAGGGGGGAGGTCCGCTCTGCAGGGGGCGGGTTTGCCCTGCAGGGGGGGGTGGTGCAGGGGAGGGGGGGGGTCCGCTCTGCAGTGGGGGAGGGGGACTGCAGGGGCGGGGTCCGCTCTGCAGGGGACGCGAGCGACGACGACGACGACGAGGACGACGATGACGCGAGACGACGACGACGACGACGACGACGACGACGACGACGACGACGACGACGACGACGACGACGACGACGACGACGACGACGGGGGGGGAGCTGGGTTGCAGACGGGGGAGCTGGGTTGCAGGGGGAGGGTCTGCTCTGCAGGGGGGGTCCGCTCGGCAATGGGAGGGACTGCAGGGGAGAGGGCAGGGGAGGGGGTCTGCTCTGCAGGGGGAGTCCGCTCGGCAGAGGGAGGGACTGCAGGGGAGAGGGGTGGTCCGCTCTGAAGGAGGGGGGGGCTGCAGGAGAGGAAGTCTGCTCTGACGACGACGACGACGACGACGGGGGGGGACGGCAGGGGGGAGCTGGGTTGCAGGGGGAGGGTCTGCTCTGCAGGGGGGGTCCGCTCGGCTGGGAGGATGGGAGGGGGACTCCAGGGGAGAGGGTGGTGCTCAGGGGGGGGCTGGGAGGGGGTCTGCAGGGGAACGCTGCAGCTCTGCAGTGGAGGGGGGGGTGCTCTGCAGGGGGGAGTGGTGCAGGGGGGTGGGGTGCAGGGGGGGGGGGGGCCGATATGAAAGTGGGGGGGGGGCTTGCAGGGGCAGGGGTTCCGATACTGCTAGGGGGTTTTTTTTTTTTTTGCCGAGGACGCGAGCGACACTACGACGACGAGGACGACAGATGACGATAGCACGACGACGACGACGACGACGGGACGACGACGAACGACGACGACGACGACGACGACGACGACGACGCCGACGACGACGACGACGACGACGCGGACGCGACGACAACGACGACGACGACGGGGGGGAGCTGGGTTGCAGGGGGAGGGTCTGCTCTGCAGAGGGGTCCGCTCGGCAATGGGAGGGACTGCAGGGGAGAGGGCAGGGGAGAGGGGGGTCCGCTCGGCAGAGGGAGGGGCTCTGCAGGGGAGAGGGGGGTGCTCAAGAGGGGTGGGCTGCAGGGGGGGAAGTCTGCTCTTGCCAGGGGGGGGGGTGCAGGGGAAGGGGGGAGCGTTCCGCTCTGCAGGGGGGGGGGGCTGCACGGGGGCGGGGTCCGCTCTGCACGGGGGGGGGGGGCTGGGCTGCAGGGAGGGGGGGGCGGTCCGCTCTGAGGGGGGGGGGGTCCGCTCTGGGAGGAGGGGGGGCTGCAGGAGGGCGGGTCTGCTCTGCAGAGGGGGGGGGAGCAGGGGAGGAGAGGGGGGTCCGCTCTGCAGGGGGGTGGTGGTGCAGGGGGGGGGTCGCTCGGCAGTGGGGCGGGGGGGGCTGCAGGGGCGGGGTCCGCTCTGCAGGGGGGAGGGGGGGCTGGGCTGCAGGAAGGGGGAGGGGGCGTTTTGCAGGGGATGGGGGGTTCCGCTCTGGGAGGGGGCGGGGGGGGCGAAGCACTGAATTAGGTCGGAATTAGGTCGGAAATGAGGTCCCCCCCTCGCAGAGCGAGGCTTGAGCGAGTTCACGCCCACGCTCTCAGAAACTCACACGCCGGATCGGCGGAGTTCATCTTAGCTTAGCTTAGCTTCATCTTAGCTCAGGTTTATCTTAGCTTAGCTTACCTTCAGCTTAGCTTCGCTGAGCTTTAGCATAGCATAGCACAGCATAGCATACCATAGCGTAGCACAGCACAGCGCAGCACAGCATATCATGGCAAAGCCCAGCATAGCACAGCATAGCGCAGCATAGCATAGCATAGCATAGCATAGCATAGCATAGCATAGCATAGCGCAGCACATCACAGCACTGCATAGCACCGCGCAGCACAGCAGAGCATAACATAGCACAGCAGCAAAGCAAAGGCAAAGCAACAGCAGCGACAGCAAAGCAAAGCACAAACAACGCAAAGCAAAGCAAAGCAAACGCAAAAGCAAAGCAAAGGAAAGGAAAGGCAAAGCAAAAGATGTGAATGTAGCTGTCGGTGTAGATGTAGATGTTGCTTTCCTAGATGCTCCAACTCCTAGGTAGGGTCGCACTGGGATAATTTGTACGAAAACCCGGGGGGGGGGGGACACAAAAAAAAAAAAAAACATGACGTCGGGGGTCTCGGTATGTCTCGCCATGACAGCCGTTACTGGCTCCCCCCCCACACACACACACACTTCGGGCGTTGGCAGAATTGGGGTTTAGTGGAGCCTGGTTTAGTGATGTGTACTGGGGGACGGCCCCCTCGCCCCGTTCCACTAGCCCGAACTGCCGTCACCCGAAAAAAAACAGCCGCGGCAGACCTGGTTCAGTGATTCTGGTCAATTCAATGGCTCTCGGGCCCGACCACTAATTAACCTGGTCCCCTTACCCATGGGGTTGTGGCTATTCCCGAACAATCTTCGCCACGACGGCCGCTGCCGGCCCCGGCAAGGTCACGAGACGTGCTGGCCTCCGACTTGTCCCTTGGTCCTTGCTGGGCCTTCCCCCAGAGCGGCGCCCTCGCAGAGCGTGACGTCAGCGCCGCCGCGCCGCCCCCCCCCCCTCCCTGACCTTCCAGAGTGCTAAAAAATAGCACTCCAGACCTATAGATCTGAAGGGGCCCAGGGACACACACAAATAAATACACGCAAATAAAAAAGATTCCCCATATTTTGCCATATGTTCTGGGTTTCTGTCTTCCCCCCCCACTGCCCATATTTTCCCTATTGTTTGGGGAATCGACGATTAATTTTGTCTGTGTGTTGTTCTTCCCTCCTGAAGATCTATCTGGACTGCCTCAAACCTCGACGGGAATTAGGGCGTCGACGTGCTGGTACTATTGTTTCGCCCTCCTGGAAGGCCAGGGCTCCCCACCCCGTGAACGCCCGCCATCGCCCGGGAGAGAGAAAACTAAATCGCTCCCGAGGCAGAGCCGTGTCCCAGGCCTCGCGGGCCGACGGCCCCCGGGGCCGCGAAGCAGTCGCGTGGGGGGGCGTGTCGGCCTTGTGCGGCGTCTTGCGCGGGCCGCTGGCGCGGCACGGGACGCTGGAAACGAGGGCGCCCACGCGCGACCTCGCGCGGGTAGCTCAGGCGCGAAATGTCGGAGGATGACGAACGGCGGCAATGAGGGATCAACGATCGATAACGGCGCGACGCGCAATGCATAAAAGCACTTCGTTCGGCACGTATCCCGACTGGGCTCCGTGAGTCACCACGCAATTTCGAAACGAAGGAGGGGCGAGGAGGGGAGGGGAGGAGGACAAGCTAGGTGCGTTCGCGTCATCTCTGACATCCTACCCCTCCCTCCCATCCCTCACCATGGCGCTGATCCCCTCTCTACTCGCACAGTCGGATGTCAAGCAGGGCGATGATCCCGAAAAGGTACGCGATGCATGGTAGAGCACGGCTAGGCTTGCCGTAGAAGAGCACCGCGAAGCGTAGTATCAACCTAGCACTGCATTGCATGCCGTGGCATGGCACGGGAAATGACGCCAGCACTGCAGCGGGAGCACGACTCGAAACGAGCGGAAGCGCGGAAATGAGGCCAGCGCTGCAGCGGGAGCACGATTCGGAACGAGCGGAAGCACAGAAATGAGGCCAGCGCTGCAGCGAGAGCACGATTCGGAACGAGCGGGGCCCGAAAAAGAGGCCGGCGCCTTAGCGAGAGCAGCATTTTGGGAAAAATTGCCAGCGAAAACCTAACTCCGGGGAAGGTTCCCGGGCGCCAGCAGCAGAAATTCAGCATTTTCAAAAGAAACAATTATATTGGAATGGCCTTTTTTTGGCGCCGCCTCGGAACTCGATTTTCCGGCGCCGGCCGGAACCGGCTCCGGACCCGGCCCGGGCGCCGGCACGGGCGCCGGCTCGGGCGTCCGGCCCGGGCGCCGGCTCGGGCGCCGGCCTGGGCGTCGGAATCGGCCCGGGAGGCCTCCCGGGCGCCGGAAGCAGAAATTCTGCATTTTCAAAAGAAAAATGTGTTTTAGAATGGCCTTTTTTCACCGCCGCCTCGGAACTCGATTTTCCGGCGCCTGCCGGAACCGGCTCCGGACCCTGCCCGAGCGCCGGCCCGGGCGCCGGCTCGGGCGTGCAGCCCGGGCGCCGGCGGAAATGATGCCAACGCTGATTCGGAACGAGCGGGGCCCGAAAATGAGGCCGGCGCCTCAGCGAGAGCAGCATTTTGGAAACAAATGCAAGCGAAAACCCCCGGGGAAACCTGTGTAAAAAAACAATGCGCGGGGGGGGGGGGGGCGAAAATTCCCAAGACGTAATCAGGGGAAGAGGGAGAGTAGTATTCACCACCAGAGGCCCTCGCCGGGCACCTGGACAGTCCACCAAAACGACCCTCGGGATGGAAGGACTTCTGGGGACCCCGTATCCCAGGCCCCCGACGTCACGAGTTCTTCATGACGTCGACCTCGGTCTCGACCCCGTCCCGAAGACCGGCTTTTCATCCTGGGTTGTGTTGTTGACGGCCGAGAACAGCGAAAAGCCTTCCGTCGTGAATATTTCATGGCCCGCGGGGGTCTGGCTTCGAAGCATGCCTCGGGGACCTCTGGGGCAGCAGATCCGTACCCACGGCCTCGCGGGCCGAAGGCCCCTGGGCCGTGACCCCGTGCGTGCGGGGCGTTTCTGTCCCCGGCTGCCCCGCGCGGAGCGCACGCACGCGACCGCCGCAACCACGGGATCGCGCCCCAGAGTCCATGACCACGAGGGCGTGGATATAGATACGTACGTACCCAGACCCCCCTCGCGTCATGAAAGAATCTCGGCGGGAAGTTTTTTGCCATCGTCGGCCTCTGGGGCCCTTACCGAGCCTCGGGACCGTCAAAAAACGACTCAGGATGAAAAACTGGTCCTGGGGAATGGGTCGAAACCTTTGGGGGTCGACTTTATGAACAAATCATGACGTCGGGGGTCTGGATATAGAGGCCTCCACAATGGGGTGGGAGTAGATTGGGCTAGAGGATCGCGCTGCATCGCTGGTACATCGCTTTCTCGAAGGTCCGCGCGGACTTCTCGAATCGGCGCTGGAACCGCCTCCCTGGCGCGCGCCAGGGGCGGCGCGGGAGGCGCCGCCAAAGGGGCCTGGCGTCAGGTCGGGCATGTCCCCCTACACGCGGATTTCGGACGAACAATAAAAAATGGCTAAACAGTATTCGAAAATAGCAATTAAATCATCGAACGTTCGTCCCCATATTATTTTTTGACTATTTCTCAATATTCCTACTGTAGAGGGACAGGCCCTGGCGCCGATCCTGCTACTCGATGCTCGCCTGTCGTGAGGCCCCGCGGGGCGAGGGCCCCTCTCCTGAGGGCCGGCTCCCTGACCTTCCAGGAGGGCTGAAAAATAGCACCAGCACGTCGACGTCCTCATTCCCGTCGAGGTTTGAGGCAGCCCAGATAGCTCTGTAGGTCTGGAGTGCTACTGTTTAGCACCGTGGAAGGTCAGGGTCCCGAGGGCCGGTTCTTCACCTGCGGCGTTCTCTGACGGCCCCGGGGCCACGCGGGGGCGCCCCCGGAAGCAACAAGCCGCCACCAAAACTCGCGAGCATGTCTGGGACTACGGGATACACGTGCGCCGCTCGTGAGGCGGGAGAGCCCAGAATCCCAGCGACGACTCGGACGGGCGACCGACACGAATCGCACCGGCGGACACCTGCAGCCCAAGTCGGGCGAAGCCGAATCAGCGTTATGTCGGGCCTGTCCCCCCACAGGGGAATTTTGGACGAAAATTAAAAAAAAAAAAAAAAAAAAAAAAAAAAAAAAAAAAAAAAAAAAAAAAAAAAAAAAAAAAAAAAAAAAAAAAAAAAAAAAAAAAAAAAAAATCGAAAGATGCCCAAAAATACTCCAAGAATAGTCCCCAGACTATTTTTTGACTATGTTTGAACACTCCCCCTGTAGAGGGACAGGGCCGATTGAAAATCAGCGGACATCGGCAGGCTGGTGAGGCCCCCGTGGAAAAAACGTCTGAACCCACATATCAGAACCCAGGGCCGAACCAGGTCGGAAAAAACATAAGAACCCACATATCTGAAGGTGCCCTGGGACACACGAACAAATACACACAAATGAAAAGATTCCCCCTATCCTCATGTAGTGCCGCGGTTCCTGTCTTCCCCCCCACTTCTCCTATCTTCCCCTACTTTCTGGGGAGTCGGCGACGAGTTGTGTCTCTGTGCGTGTATGTTTTTTCCCCTCCTGGATATGGGAACCCCGGGGCCGAGCCAGGTCGGAATCCGAATCCGAAGAGAAGCCCGAGCGCGCACCTCCCGGAGCGCTGGGGGGCTATCCTGGCCCCGAGCCCGGCTCCTGCTCCGATCCTGGCCTTCGGCCTCGGCCTCGGCCTCGGCTCTGCTTCCGCTCGGGCCTCGGCCCCGGCAGCCCCGGCTTCTCGGCTCCGGCTTCTCGGCACCGGCGACTTCGGCTATACGCGCCGAGATCGGATCGAGCCGAGCCGGAGGCATCGAAGGCCCCGGACCCCCGACGTCGTGATGTCTTCAGCACGTCGACCCCCAGAGGCATCGACCCATGCCCCGGGACCGGCATGGGGGCCCCGAGAGGCCGAACGCCACGCAAAACCTCCCGTCGTGATTTCTGTCACCACGCGAGGGGGCCTGGGAAGATCGAGGCGCGCGAGGACCCGCGGCCCCAGGCGCACCGACCCCTTCCCCAGGGGTGGCTTTCCCTCCCAGGTCCATTTTAGATGGTCCCCGCGGGCCCGATCTAACGGGCCCCCGAGGCCGAAATCGAGGACATGAATTCGCCCGGGCTGAAAAAATCATACCCTAGGCAGCGAAGTTCGGCTACACGTGAGAGTGACCCTGGGCAAGAGGGACCTTTGGTGCGCGGCTTTCGGGGGCCGCAAAGGGGACCAAATCCAAGCGTGCCGACCAGTACTGGGGGACCCCTGTGAGCCCGCACCACAGGTCACTCTGGCGAAGGGTCACTCTCCAGACCCCCGACGTCATGATTTTTTCAAAACGTCGACCCAATCCCCAGGACCAGTTTTTTATCCTGAGTTGTGTTTTGACCGTCTCAGGGCTCGGCGAGGGCCCCCAAAGGCAACACAAATTAGAAAAACCTCCCGTGGTGTTTGTTTGACAGGAGGGGGTCTGGAACCACAGGTCACTCCTGCGAAGGGTCACTCCTACGTGCCGCCGAGGTAAGCTCGCCGCGCGCGAGTCCTCCTCCTCATTCCCCTCCTCCTCATCCTCCTCCTCCTCCTCCTGCTGCTCCTCCTCCTCCTCCTCCTCCTGCTTCTCCTCCTCCTCCTGGACTCCTCCTCCTCCTCCTCCTCCTCCTCCTCCTCCTCCTCCTCTCCCCTCCTCCTCCTCCTCCTCCTCTCTCCTCCCTCCTCCTCCTCCTCCTCCCTCCTCCTCCCTCCTCCTCCTCCTCCTCCTCCTCCTCCTCCTCCTCCCTCCTCGCTCCTCCTCCCTCCTCCTCTCCTTCCTCCTCCTCCTCCTCCTCCTCCTCCTGGACTCCTCCTCCTCCTCCTCCTCCTCTCCTCTCCTCTCCACTCCTCCTCCTCCTCCTCCTCCTCTCTACTCCTCTCCTCCTCTCTCTCTCCTCCGCCTCCTCCTCCTCCTCCTCCTCCTCTCCTCCTCCTCTCCTCCTCCTCCTCCTCCTCCTCCTCCTCCTCTCAGTATTATTATTATTATTATTATTAATATTCTTATTAGTAGTATTACCATTATTATTATTATTATTATTATTACTACTATTTTTTATTGTTATTATTTTTATTAGTATTATTATTATTAGTATTATTAATATTATTATTATAATAATTATTTTTGTTATTTTTATTATTATTAGTAGTAGTAGTAGTAGTATTATCATTATTATCATCATTATTATGATTATTATTATTAATTTTCTTCTTCCTCCTCCTCCTCCTCCTTCTCCTCCTTCTCCTTCTCCTCCTCCTCTTCCTTCTCCTCCTCCTCCTGGACTCCTCCTCCTCCTCTTCTTCTTCTTCTTATTATTATGCGTCGTATTCGTCTTATTATTCTTAGTATTCGTCTTCTTCTTGTTACTACTCTTATGTTTATTAGTTTGCTGCCTATTCTTCTTATTATTATTAGTCTTCTGATTCGTATGATTATGCTTATTATTAGTCTTCGTGTTACTATTATTCCTCTTATTATTCTGAGTATTCGTCATATTATCTTCTTCGCATTAATATTATTTCTTATTAATAATATTATTCGTATTCTTCTTCTTATTATTATTCTTGTTACACATATTATTATTAACATGAGTCTTCTTATTAGTATGAGTCTTGTTCTTCGTATTACTCGTATTATTGTTATTCTTCTTGTTCTTCCTCCTCCTCCTCCTCCTCCTCCTCCTCCTCGCGCGAGGTCCTGCGGCTCGTGGGCCCGGCCCCGGCCGCAGTTGTTGCAGGCCGCGCGGGCCGCCCCGTTGGGCTCGTCGCAGGCGGGGCAGTGCCAGAGCTCCCGCGGGCGCTCCTCCTCCGACGACGCCGACGCCGACGACGACGCCGACGCCGACGCCGCCGACGACGACAGCGACGACGACGACGACGCCGACGACGACGACGCCGACGACGACGACGACGACGACGGCGGCGGCGACGACGACGACGGCGGCGCCGGCGACGACGAGCGTGCCGCCCGAGGACCCCGCCGCCGCGCGGGCCGCCGCGGCGTCGCAGGAGCGCCCGCCGTCGTCGCCGCCGTCGTCGTCGCCGCCGTCGCCGTCGCCGTCGTCGTCGTCGTGAAGCAGGCTCACCGGAGGCAGGAACTGCTGCCTATATTCAGAAAAGGCGTGCCTTCTGTGGGTGCCTGCCTTCGGTGAGCTCGTGGCTTCCCTGGGCCGAGGGGCCCAGACACGCTCGCGCCCTGGAAAAAAAAACGCCACGGCGCGCCGGTTGCGTGAGCAAACTTCGGCCTCGCTCCGGGAGCCTGCACCGGGCCCCAGGGTGCCGTCGAACATGTGCCCGGGGTTACAGTGGAGGCCAGTCCACAGGAAGCCTCCCACGAGAAACCCAACCCTGAGACCCCAGGACGCCCACTGATTGCTGCTGTGGGAACGTCGCGCTCTCCGTCGCAGCACCATCGACACCCAAGAAGCCCAGGGCACCCTGGGTTTCTTGGCATGGGTCTCCACGGTAGGCACTGGCCCTGGGGACACCTCCGGGGGGGCGCGCATCGAGCAGAGCAGGACCTCGCATGTCCAGGGGCAGCCCAGCAGCACGGTGAAGAGACGACCGACGGCAACGGGGACGGCAGGAGGAGGAGGAGAAAGAGGAGGAGGAGGAGGAAGAGGAGGAGAAGGAGGAGGAGGAGGCAAGGTGGGAGGGGCCAGCAGGGAAAGGCGGCACGTGGGGAGAGCAAAGGATACCAACACCGCTGCTGCTTGGACCTCTCCCAGGGGGCGTTCTGACCAAGGCTCTAGGGGCGACTCCAGAGGTGGCGACGAGGGCCGCCCAGGAAGCCCCAGAAAGGGGAAAACGGAAGAAGGATAGCAGTATGGGTACCTTTTCTCGGCGGCGAGCCCGGGGGGGAAGTGGGAAGGAAAAGGCCTTCTCAGAAGGCTCGGAAGTCCCCTGGCCTTCTGAAAAGTTATCTAAGCCTCCCCGGAAGACGCAAAGAAACCTCTCCGAAGGCGCGAGGGCTTCTGAGAAGTCCCCCCGCCTTCTGAGAAGGCCCCTTGCCGCTTCCCCCCCTCGTGCGCCGCAGATTTTCCTCCTCTGAGCATGAGGGCGGCAAGGAGTGGCCCCGGCCAAGAGCGCCCTCATGTTGCGCGGCCCTCAGGGGGTCCGCGGGGGGCCGCGGGGAGGGGGCGGGAGGGCAGCCCAGGGCACGCATGCCGCAGCAAGCGCGTCACACACAGCAGTCGGGGAGCCCCAGTGTCGGGGGGACGTAAGAATCGGGCTTGGAGGACTCGCTGCAGGCATCCCACGAAAACTCGATGCTTGAATCCGACTCGGGCTTGGAGGACTCGCTGCAAACGTCCCACGACAACTTTGTTGTTTCATCCGACCCAGCCTCGACCGCTGTGCGAGTCAAAAGGACGCCAGGCAAACCAGGAACACCGCACGAGCCAACCTGCGCTAGGCAAGCACACATTGTGACTGAACCGCGGCCTGAATCATGAGCGAGCGTGCAAGCATCCCACGAAAACCGGACCGCCAAAATCGAGGACGGGCCCGTCAGAAGGCATCGGCAAACCTGGGTTCTGGGGAAATTGAGCCTTACGTTTCCCGGACAGTGTCGGGCGGAGGCAGAACTGGGTTTAGCGGGACCTGGTTTAGTGATATGTACTGTGGGACGCCTCCCCCTGCCCCGTTCCACTAACTGGAACTGCCGTCGCCCGAAACAGCTCCAGCTACCGCTGACCTGGTTCAGTGGTCCTGGCCAATTTAGGGGCTCCGGGTAAATTAACCGGGTTAGTGATGTGCCCTCGGAGACGGAGGGAATCCTTGAGATCGGCATCGAGGTGAGGAGATGCCAAACTTAGGGATAGGGATATGTTTCAAACTGGTCAATAAACGTTTGGCGCTCCCCGCGCATATCTTGGATCTGCGCTGGACCGCCCTCTCTGGCGCGCGGAGCGCGCCTGGGGCGGCGCCGGAGGCGCCGCCAGGGGGCCCCAGCGCAGATCCAAGAATTCCGCGCGGAGCGCCAAAAGTGTATGTTCATGCCGTTGTTTCTTCTTCGAGGAGCGCATACCCAGACCCCCGACGTCATCTTCTGTTCAAAACGTCGAACCCCAAAGGTCTCGACCCCTTCCCCGGGACTGGTTGTCCATCCTGAATCGTTATTTGACGGTCCCGAGGCCCGGTAAGGGCCCCCAGAGGCCGAAAATTGCGAAACAACTCCCATCATGATTTGTTCATTGCCCAAGGTTGGAGGCTGCAAAGTGGTGAGGTATCAAGAGGGGCGGTGCCAATGCTGTAAATAGCGATGTTATATACAATAGCCGCAAATGCGATGCACCCCGATTTCAACAATGCCGACTCAGCATCGACCGCTTCAAACAAAGCCGGTAGAGCAATTCCAACTCCCCAAGCGACCGCCGTCCAATCTGAACGGCGACACAAAAGCCCAATCCATGACGCCGTATCGCCAGGCACGCGATTCCAGAGATTCCGTAATTTCCCGAATTCATGTTTGTGATTCAAGAATTTCCGGAGCGTCGTTTCGGAATTTCCGCAAGTATGGTTTATCAATACCATTCCTAAACTCTGGAATTTCCGGAACTACGTGTTGGGCGATACGGAAATTACGCCTTTCACAATTCGGAATTTTCGAAATTTGGTGATCGGGCGTCCGGGAACAGGTGTAGTGTTGCCGTTCACATAAGCTTGCGGTCGTTTGGGAAATCTGGAATCAAAAGCTCTGACGTTGTTTGATGCGGTCCGCGCAAAGCCAATGTTGCTGACAAGGGAAAACGCACTTGCGGCTAATCATCGTAGATAGCATCGCCATTTCCAGCACGGGCACCGCACTCCTTTCTACCACACCCTTTTGCGACCTCCAGGGGGTCGGGGTACCCTGCGCCGAGGCTGGAGAGCCGCCGAGAGCCAACGCGAGCGTCCGGCGAAGGGTCGCCCTTTCTTTCTGTTACTGAGCATCGTTCAGCAGATCCCGATCCGTTTATGAGCATCGGTTAACCGCTCGTGGCCTGGGCCCCACTGGCCGATTTGCACCCCTAGATGGGGATATAGGCTGTTCCCTTCGGGTTTCCAGGGGCATATCCCCAAAAGGGGTGGCGAGATGGTGGGACTCGGGATGGGGATGGGATGGGGGTGGGGATCGGTTACACGACACTGATTTACGTGCCGTCGAGTCCTGGGCGGCGTCCTGGCCCTGCTCGGCGACCCCCCGATGAGCGTGGCTTCTGCAGCGGGGGTGGCTTGCCGCCCGCGCCTTTGCGGGGGGGGGGGGGCGGGCGAGGACCTCGACGGAGATCTCTGCCGCGCCCCGACCCCAGACCCCCATCGAGCCTATGAAAACATCACGCCGGGAGGCTTTCCGCCATGCTCGGCCTCCGGGGGCTCTGGCTGGCCCTCGGGGCCGTCAAAATACGACTCAGGAGGACAATCTGGTCCCCGGGGAAGGGGTCGACACCTCTGGGGGTCGACGTCATGAACAGACCATGACGTCGGGGAGGAGCTCTGGGACGAGGGCTCCTCGGACCCTCGGTGCCACGTGGTGGCCTCGCGAAGTCCCAACGGCGCAGCTCGCAGGTCACACCCTGGCGTGACCAAACACCCCTCGGTGGTCGCCGGCCTGCTCCTGCCCGGGCTTGCCCATCCAGGCGACGCGCGCCTCCGGGAAGTAGCCCGCGTGGGCCGGGTTGCCCACCAGGCGGCCGTAGAGCCAGCCGCCCCCAGCGGCCAGCACCTCCACCACGTCGCCCTCCGCGATGGCGATGCAGCTGTCGGTGAAGGGGTCCACGGCCTCCTCCGGAGGAAGAGCAGCAGCAGCGCAGGTCCCCGCAGATGGGGAGGTGGCAACGTTGCAGCAACGGGCGCTTTGGCGCCGCGTTTCGGGCCCCTATGGGGCCCTCACAGATCGATGCAGCTCGACAAAGGGAGTCTATATAGGGCTCTGGCCGCGATTTTTTGGCGCGGCGTCGCAGCTTTGCACCGCGCGCCGGATTTCAGGGCTCCGGGATCTCAGAGGGGCTCCCTCGCGCCGGCGCCGTCGACTCCCGGCAGTACGCGCCGCGCGGCGGCGAAGAACGGGGGAGGAGGGGAGCGAGAAGCAGGCAAGCGGCGGCGAGCGCGCAGGCGGGAGGCCAGGGCCGGCGGGAGGAAGCAGGCGGGCGGGCGGGGAGGTGAAGAGACAGAAGGGAGACAGCCGGCAGGGTCCGAGGGAGAGGGGGCAGACGGAAAGGGACAGGAGGGACGCAGCGTGGACACGAGCTGCCGTAGGTCCGCAGGGCGGTCGTTCTTCAAACCGTTCGAGGTCGCCTCGCCAATGATTAACTCATCGGCACGTTGGCATAGGACCGTTGGTGCCTCCGTCTCTGCGTCAGGACTTGTTCGCTGCATAAACATCGGAGTGAAAAGGGCCGAACGGTCATTCACTATCCCTGGGTGCGTGGCTGAAGTGGACTTCTGCGATGCGGATTGATGTTGGTGCTGCTGTTGTTGCTGTTGTTGTTGTTGGTGTTACTGTTGTTGTGTGGTTGTTGCTAGTTGAACTCTCCTTACTGAAATATAAAGATTGTGAATATTCCCCTCTGGGACACATGGTATGTTTCGATTCAAGTGCTTCTCCTGGGGCTCACACACTATTCTTTTTTGAAGAAAGTCTTGGGTCTCAGAATTGTATTGTTGGCCCCCGGATTACAACAACAACAACAACAATCATGTTAAGACTGTTCGCCATTATATGCTCGAGTGTCAAATAACGCGTATTTCCCAAACCCTCGATACCCGCCCTCTTCGTCTTCGATCGAACCCCTTTTAGGGGTATACCTTTCTTCCCTGCAGGCCGGGCCCCGGCAAGCGGCGGGGCGGCCGCGGACCGTCGGCCTGGCCAGTGGCAGCGCTGATCGGCGGGGCGGCCGCGGACCGTCGACCCGACCCCAAGAGGGACGGACACGGGACCGACCACGACGACGACGACGACGACGACGACGACGACGTCGAAGACGACGGCGACGACGACGACGACGACGGCGACGACGACGACGGCGACGACGAGCGAAAGCGAGAGCGAGAGAGAACGACAGCAGGGCCACGAAGGGCACGAAGTAGGCCACGAAGGGCGACAGCGGGGACACGAAGGGAACGCGTATTGGACCACGAAGAGCGCGAATGAGCGGGGGCCACGAAGTGCAGATAATGCGGGGCCACAGAGGGCAACTATGGGGCCACTGAGGGTAGCAACTGGGCCACGTAGGACAGTGAGGGGGACACAAATGGCGACAGCGGGGCCACGAAGGGCATGCAAATGGGGCCACGACGGGCCAGCGGGGCCACGAAGGGCATGCACATGGGGCCACGACGGGCGCGACTCCTGGGTGCCTGGGTGTCGGGAGCGCGGCGCTTGGGCAAATTGCAGGAAATCCCAACGCAAGGCCAGTCTTCAGTAAGTTGCAAGCAAGTCTCCAGCGAGAGCGCGACTCCAGAGCGCTGGGAGAGCGATTCCTGAATGAATTGCAAGGAAGTCCCAAGCGAGAGCGCGATTCCTGAATAAAATGCGAGAATGTCTCGGGCGGGAGCGGGGGTCCTGGCTAAATGGTGAGGAAGTCTCAGGTGGGAGCCGTTGTTGTTGTAACCCGGGGGCCAGGGGGCCAGTTTGAGCAGGAATACTTTCCCTGTCAAAAAAACAAGCAGCGAGCGTCGAGGGGCACACTTTGATTGAGAAAAAAACAGTATGCACCAGTGGGGGGATCAACAATAATTATTCTTCAGACATGAGAATTCAACTGCTCCCGGCGGATACTTCCCCACAAGGAATTCCCAAATCGCGCTCTCGCGCGGGACTTTCTCACAACTTCTACGGGAATCGCACTCTCCCGTTGATACTCCTTGCAATGTACTCAGACGCCGCGTCCTCGACACTCAGGAATCACGCTCTCGTTGTGGATTTCCTCACAATTTACTTGGGAATCGATCTATCGCTTGAGACTTCCTCGCACGCCCGCCTGGGTCCAACTTACCAACCCGCCCGTCAGAGCCAACTCGCCCGATCTGCCCATAGTTTTCAACTCCCAGCCCCCCTCCTGCTACTCTCTCTCTCTCTCTCTCCCTCTCTCTCGTGCTCCATCTTCCTCCCACCCCATTGCCCCTTCGTTCCATCCGTCCTCTCTTCCCCTGCCTCGGGGGCTGTACGAAATACACGTTGCAGGTGAGACAGATATACCCCTAAAAGGTACGATCGAAGACGAAGAGGGCGGGTATCGAGGGTTTGGGATAGACGTGCTGGGCTCCACGCGAGCAGATAGGAACGATCCGTCTTAAAATGAATGTTGCTGCTCTTGGTGGTGGTGTTGTTGCTGTTGCGGTGTTTGGTGTTAATGCTGTTGTTGGTGCTGTCGTTGTTGTTGCTGCTGCTTCTGGTAGTGTTGTTTGTGTTGCTGGTGTTGGTGATGTTGGTGTTGGTGTTGTTGTTATTGTTGGTGTTGGCGCTGTCGTTGCTTTTGTTGTAGTTATCGTTGTCGTTGGCGTTGTCGTTATTGCTGTTGTTGTCGTCGTTGTCATCGTCTTGTGTTTTTGTTTGTTGCTTGTTATTCCCTACCTAGGCTCTGCATAGAAGGGTTCTTACCCTGTATGCTTAAAGGGCCGGGCAGTGCTCCCCGCCCCGGGCGGTTCCCCCAGGATCCGCCCCGCGGTTCCCCCAGTGACGTTCCCTTAGCTTAGCGTTGCTCATCTTATCTTAGCTTAGCAAATTTCATCTTAGCCTAGCGTTGCTTCATCTTAGCTGAGGTTTATCTTAGCCTAGCCTAGTTTAGCCTAGCTTAGCTTAGCTTATCTCACCTTAGCTTAGCTTAGCTTAGCTTGGCTTAGCTTAGCTTGGCTGAGCTGAGCTGAGCCTAGCTTAGCTTAGCTTAGCTTCGCTTAGCTTAGCTTAGCTTACCTTAGCTTGGCTTAACCTAGCGCAGCATAGCGCAGCGCAGCGCAGCATTAGCACAGTATAGCATAGCATAGCGTAGCATAGCCAAGCATAGGATAGCATAGCAAATCCTAGCATAGCATAGCTCAGCATAGCATAGCATTGCATAGCGTGGCATAGCGCAGCATATTATAGTATCACACAGTATAACATTGCTTAGCATAGCACAGCGCAGAATAGCATAACATAGCACCGTATAGCATATCATAGCATAGCATAGCATAGCATAGCATGGCATAGCATAGCGCTGCACAGCACAGCATAGCACAGTCTATCATCGCATAGTAAGGCAAAAGCAAAGGCAATAACAAAAGCAAAGGCAATGCAAAGCACAAGCAACACCAATGCGAAAGTGTAGATGTAGATGTAGATGTAGGTGTAGGTGTAGATGTGGATGTAGGTGTAGATGTAGATGTAGATGTAGGTGTAGATGTAGGTGTAGATATAGATGTAGATGTGGGTCTCGCTGTTGATGTTGATGTAGATGTAGATGCAGGTGTAGATGTAAATGTAGCTGTCGGTGTAGATGTAGATGTTGTTTTCCTGAATGCTCCAACACCTAGGTAGGGTCGCACTGGGATAATTTGTTGTTGTCGCCGAGCCCGCGACCCAACCGCGACCCAACCGCGACCCACCCCGCGACCCACCCGCGACCCACCCCGCGACTCGCCCGCGACCCACCCGCGACCCACCCCGCGACCCGCCCGCGACCCGCCTGCAACCCGCCCGCGACCCACCCGCAACCCACCAGGGACCCACACCGCGACTTACCCGCAACACACCCGCGACCCACCCACGACCCACCCCTGCGACCCACCCGCGACCCACCCGCGACCCACCCCGCGCCCGCCCCCTCACTCTTATATGCAACTGTGGGGTGCTACATAAAACTTCTGAGGTCCGCGCGGATCTCTGAAAAACTGTTTATGCCACGCTTTCATCCCCGACTCCTCCACGGAGTCGCCTGGCGTCCCTGGGGAGAAGGCGGTGCGCACCTGCGGGACCAGTCAGCATCGACAACGTCAGGATGAAATCGAAATATACGCGTCAGACCCCGAAATCAAATCGGATCGGGCCGCGACAGGATGCATGACGGAGCCATGCAGGCATGGGGCCGCATCGGACCGCTGGAACACCGAGATCGAAACAGGTAGAGCCGGCCGCAACCGATATCGAATCGGATGAAGCCCGAAGGTACCGAGACCGCTACTCCCTGGACCTCCCCCGTGTTGCGTTCCGACCAGGACTTCGAAGCGAATCGGGCCGCGGCGACGAGGTGCTCCCAGGAGGCCCAAAAAGGCGAGAACGAGGCAACGGCAGCGGTGTCGGTACTTTTTCCTCCTCCGACAATCGGGTCGGCATCGTGGACTTTGACCTGCGCGAAGAAGCTGGTGCTGTGCAGCCAGGGCAGGATTGTGTCACAACGTGGACCCCTGGGGTCTCGATGCATTGCCACGGATCAGCGGTTCGTCCCGAATCGTTTCCTGACTGTCCCGGGGGCCCCGCAAAAGCCCCCGAGACCAAAAACGGCAAAACACCTCCTCTCTTGATTCTGGTCACGACGCGAACATGTCTATACGCCACGCAACTACATACACAGACACCCTCCGACGAACTATGCATGCATCTTCAGGGAGGGCGGCGGAGTGTAAAGTCGCTGGCTCGAAGAGGTGATTTATACATCGTCATCCTCCCCTGAGGCCCAGGAACAAATCATTGGAGGGCGTCCGTGCGTATGTGTGTATGTGCGTGTGCGTCTGCGTGCGCGTGTGCGCATGTCTGCGTGTGTGCGTGTGTGCGTGTGTGCTTGTGTGCGTGTGTGCGTGTGTGCGTGTGTGCGTGTGCGCGTGTGCGCGTGTGCGCGTGTACGCGTGTGTGTTTCGTGCGTGAATGTGTGCGTGCGTGCGTGCGTGCGTGTGTGCGTGTGTGCGTGCGTGCGTACGTGCGCGCGTGCGTGCGTGATTGCGTGATTGCGTGGTTGCGTGATTGCGTGATTGCTTGATTGCGTGCTTGCGTCATTGCGTGAGCGTGAGCGTGTGTGTGTGTGTGTTGTATTGTGTGTTGTGTGTTGCGTGTGTGCGTGTGTAAGTGTGTGCGTGTGTGCGTGTGCGTGCGTGCATGTGATCGCGTGCGTGTGTGCGCGTATGCGTGCGTGCGTGCGTGCGTGCCTGCATGCGCGCGTGCGGGCGTGCGCGCGTGCGCGCGTGCGCGCGCGTGTGCGCGTGTTCGCGTGCGCGCGTGTGCGCGTGTGCGCGTGGGCGCGTGTGCGCGTGTGCGCGTGTGCGCGTGTACGCGTGTGCATGTGCGCGTGTGCGCATGCGCGCGTGCGCGCGTGTGCGCGTGTGCGCGTTTGCGCGTGTGCGCGTGCGTGCGTGTGTGCGTGTGTGCTTGTGTGCGTGTGTGCGGGTGTGCGTGTGTGGGTGTGCGTGTGTGTGCGTGTGTGCGTGTGTGCGTGTGTGTGTGTGTGCGTGCGTGAGTGCGTGTGTGCGTGTATGCGTGTGTGCGTGCGTGCGTGCGTGCGTGCGTGCGTGTGTGCGTGTGTGCGTGTGTGCGTGTGTGCGTGTGCGCGTGCCTGCGTGTGTGCGTGTGTGCGTGTGTGCGTGCGCGTGTGCGCGCGTATTTGTGTGCGTGTGCGTGTGGGCGTGTGTGCGCGTATGCGTGCGATTGCGTGTGTTCGTGTGGGCGTGTGCGCTTGTGCGCGTGCTCTCGTGTGCGCATGTGCGCATGTGCGCGTGTGTGCGTGTGCGCGTGTGTGGTGGGCGCGTGTGCTGGTGTGCGCGTGTGCGCGTGTGCGTGTGTGCGCGTGCGCGCGTAAGCGCGTGGGCGCGTGGGCGCGTGTGCGCGTGTGCGCGTGTGCGCGTGTGCGCGTGTGCGGTGTGCACGTGCGAGCATGTGCGCGTGTGCGCGAGTTCGCGTGTGCGCATGTGCGCGTGTGCGCGAGATCGTGTGTGCGCATGTGCGCGTGTGCGCGTGTGCGCGCGTGCGCGTGTGCGCGCGTGCGCGCGCGTGCGCGTGTGTGTGCGTGCGCGCGTGTGCGAGTGTGCGCGTGCTCGCGTGCGCAGGTGTGCGCGCGTGCGCGTGTGCGCGTGTGCGCGTATGCGCGTGTGCGCGTGTGTGCGTGTGTTCTTGCGCGCGTGTGCGCGCGTGTGCGCGTGCGTGTGTCCGTGCGTGCGTGTGTGCGTGTGTGCGCGTGTGCGCGTGCGTGCGTGTGTGCATGGGTGCGTGTGTGCGTGCATGCGGTGTGCGTGTGTGCGTGTGTGCGGGTGTGCGTGTGTGCGTGTGTGCTTGTGCGTGCGCCTGCGCCTGTGCACGTGCGTACGCATGTGTGTGCGCGTGCGTGCGCATGTGTGTGCGTGTGTGCGTTTGCGCGTGTGCGCGTGTGTGCGTGTGTGCGTGTGTGCGTGTGTGCGTGTGTGCGTGTGTGCGTGTGTGCGTGTGTGCGTATGTGCGCGTGTGCGCGTGTGCGTGTGTGCGTGTGTGCGCGTGTTCGCGTGTGCGTGTGTGCGCGTGTGCGCGTGTGCGCGTGTGCGAGTGTGCGCGTGCGCGCGTGCGTGTGCGTGTGCGTGCGTGCGTGTGCGTGTGCGTGTGCGTGTGCGTGTGCGTGTGCGTGTGCGTGTGCGTGTGCGTGTGCGTGTGCGTGCGCGTGTGCGTGTGCGTGTGCGTGTGCGTGTGCGCGTGCGTGCGTGTGCGTGTGCGTGCGCGTGTGCGTGTGCGTGTGCGTGCGCGTGTGCGCGTGCGCGTGCGCGTGCGCGTGCGCGTGCGCGTGCGCGTGCGCGCGTGCGTGCGTGCGTGCGTGCGTGCGTGCGTGCGTGTGTGTCTGTCTGTCTGTCTGTCTGTCTGTCTGTGTGACTATGTGTCTGTGTGTCTGTGTGTCGGTGTGCCTGTGTGTCTGTGTGTCTGTGTGTTTGTTTGTCTGTGTGTGTGTCTGTGTGTGTGTCTGTATGTCTGTATGTGTCTGTGTGTGCCTGTATGTCTGTGTGTCTGTGTGTGTCTGTGTGTGAATGCGTGTTCGTGCGTGCGTGCGTGCGTGTGTGTGTGGGTGTGTGTGTGTGTCTGTGTGCCTGTGTGTCTGTGTCTGTGTGTCTGTGTGTATGTGTGTCTGTGTGTGTGTCTGTCTGTCTGTCTGCGTGTCTGTGTGTCTGTGTGTGGGTGTCCGTGTGTCTGTGTGTCTGTGTGTCTGTGTGCGTGCGTGTGCGCGTGCGTGTGCTTGTGCGTGTGTGTCTGCGCGTGCGTGTGTGTATCTGTGCCGGATGTCTAGACATGCACCCTGGAGCTAGTTCTGCTTCCTCTTCGCGATCATGCCCGTGGCGGGCCCCGTCCCTCCGCCCCTCGCGCCCCCCGCACCATGGTGACGTCACGCTCCGCGCAGGCGCCGTCTGGGAAAATCAACCACTACTGCACGCGCTCCCAGGCGGTACCGGCGCGCATCGCGACGTGACTGGGCCCCTTCCTGAGACGAAGCCAGGACGAGGGCAACATCGGGTGAGGATGAATCGAGAATCTCTGAGATCTGGCGGATCTGGCGGATCTGGAGGATGTCTCGGGCGCCGCGGCTGGAACGCTCTGGAATGCCTTTCTCCTCGCCTTAGCCCCGTCCGACCTCCCCCCTCCCCCCCGGGCACGCCCAGCATTGCCAGGGGATTGGAAACGCTCGCGTGTTTGGGACTGTCGGCTACACGCAAGAGTGACCCTGGGTAAGAGTGACCTTTGGTGCGCGGCTTCTCGGGCCGCGAGGCGGCCAAACACAAGCGCGCGCGACGCCACTGCCGCCTCGAGATCAGCGATCGGGGGGCCCCGTTGGGCCCGCACCAGAGGTCACTCCGGCGAAAGGTCACTCTTACGTCTCGTCGAGACTGGGCCCTGACCTGCGCGAAGAAGCCGGTGCTGTGCAGCGCGGCCCCGTCGGCGGCGGCGGCGGCCTCAGCGGCGGTGGCCTCGGCGGCGGTGGCCTCCGCGGCGGTGGGCTCGGCGGCCTCGCCGTCCTCGGCCGGGCGGCCGAGCCACACGGTGCGGTCCTCCGGGACGTAGCCGACGCGCTCGGGCTGGCCAGCCACGCGGCCGAACAGCCACCCTGCCGGGCGACTGCGTGGAAACTCTACTACTGCAGGTTCGTGCCGTGTCGACCCTGGCGTTGGTTCCTGACACCGCGCTGGATCGTTCAACCTTGAACGATCGGCCGTTCCCGCAACGTCCAATCGTTCAACGTCGACCGATTCTGGGTCGCCGCCGGCGTTCAACGTTAAACGCCGCGGGCGGGGGTCGCCGCTGGTCGACACGACGCGAACCTACCGTACCCCTCCGAGGCACACACTGACCTCCGACAATCTGACACCTTCGATCCGAGCGCGTTTCCTTTGATGTCGGCCCTCGGGGGCCAATCTCGGGCCTCGGGGGCCATGGAAGACAGATCCGGGGCGAACAACTACCCCCGGGGAAGCGGTCGGGACCTCTGGGGTCTCGGATTGTGTGTGTGGGTCTGTTTGTTCGATTTAGAGGCCTCCTAGACGGGGTCCGAGTTGATGGGGTCGGACGATTGCGCCGCATCGCCAATGCATCGCCGATGTATCGGCGATGCATCGGCGACGTCGGCGTGGGGAACCACGGGCCCCGCATCGAGCCGCATCGCCGATGCATCGGCGATACGGCGCGATCCTCCGACCCCATCTACTCCGACCCCATCCAGGAGGCCTAGACGATTGTCAAGCAACAAAAAACTATATCAAGGTCCGACCCCCTGGGTTCCCGGCGTTGCGATTTTCGTCGAACTGGGGGCCCCGAGACCATCACAGAGCTCGATCTGGCTGGGAAAATGCGGCAGAAAGATTGGGTCTAGGGCTCCGGACGTTGGCTATGCTTCGCAGCGTCCCATCCCAGGCCCTATCCCTCCCGGGCATCCGAAGTCGAGCTGTTTTCACTACGTGGCTCCCAGGAGGGCTGCGCCCCGCACCCCGTGGGGACGGGCTTCCCCTCCCGACTGCTTGTGTGTTGGCGGTCCTGGGGCGCGGCAGGGCGCCCCCGAAGGCCGCACGCGGCCGAAGGTCGTGACTATCCTGCCTCTGCGCGAGGGTGCCAAGGGCCTGCAGGTCAGATGTTCAGATTTCTGCCACGCGGGCTGGGGCTCGGAAGTCGAAGAGTCCCTGCATTGAGCAGGGACCGACCGTCCCAGCAGTCCTATAGGCCTACCACGACATCCTCTTAGAACCCAAAAAGGTTCTAAGAGCAGGAACAATGTTCTTAGAGCATAAAACCGACGAGTTAAAACAAGACAGCCTCAGCCAGAAATGCTCTAAAAAAAATCGTTCTGACCGCGAAATGTTCTTAGAACATTCTTTGCTGGGGGCCTATAGGCCAGCCAGGAGGCCTCGCCACTGCTTGACTGCAGCCGAGCGAGCCTCAGCGGGGGTGTCCGATACCCCAGCATCGACTGCACCCGCAGGGGCAATTATTAAGGCTCCGCAGCTGGAGACCTGCGCCACCGGCCAGCACCTCCACGACCTCCCCCTCGGCGACGGCCAGGCAGTCCTCGTCGCGGAAGGTCGACCGCTCCTTCACCTCGAAAGGGGCCCAGGGACACACACAAACAAATAAACACAGATCCCAGGATTCCCCAGATATGTTCCCATACGGTAGAGGGAAACAATTACTGAACACTCCCCCTCCCCCCCGAACTCAATGTTGGCACGCGCGGTGGAGACTGCGGTCGAAGTGCATCTCATCAGACCCACCGCCAACTTTGAACATTGGGGGGAGGGGGAGGCGTTGACAGATGAATGTGGCATACATGCTCGCTAATTTGTTCCGAAGCCTGTATGTTCCTAGGGGTCGACGACTCATGGTGTCTGTGTGTTGTCCCCATCCTGGGCCTCCTCCGGCGCGAAGCGGTGCGTGACCGACACGAGCAGGTGCCGCTCCGGGCTGGGGACCTGCTGGCCGCCGGCGGCCACGGCGCTGATCCACGAGCAGTAGCTCTCCGGGAAGAAGCCGCTGCGCTGCGGCTCCTCCGAAGGAGAACCAAAAAGTGACATAACCATTATGGAGCGCACTGGAGGGGGGAGCGCACTGGAGGGGCGAGCGTCACGTCATAGGGGGAGGGGGGGGGCCGGGGGCCATGACGCCCATCATGCCCCAAGCAAGAAAGAAACGGGCTCATAAAAATTCGGAGGTCCGCGCGGATTTCTCGGATCGGCGCTGGGGCCCCCCGGCGGCGCCTCCAGCGCCGCCCCTGGCGCGCTCCGCGCGCCAGGGAGGGGGGTCCCGCGCCGATCCGAGAAATCCGCGCGGACCTCCGAATTTCTATGTTTATGTCACTTTTTGTTCCCCTATCCTCGCCCCCCACCACCCGGCCGTAGAACCAGCCGCCACCGCCCGCGACGACCTCCACGACGTCGCCCTCCCTCACCTGCAGGCAGGCGTTGCGGAAGAGCTTGCTCGTCTCCACGTCGCGGGGGGAGAAGTCGTAGGCGACCCTGGCCATCACCAGCTGCTCGCCCTGGGCGGGGCCCCCTGCGAGAGGACGACCCCCGTGCACCGTGCCACGCGTGGCCTCCCTCGGGGTCCCGCTGCAGCGCGGCACGGTGGATGGTGCAGATCGGCTCTGGGCCGAGTAACTCTGGGGGGCGGCCCTGGATCTGAACTGGCTGGGCCCCGAGAGAGTCGGCCAAGAACAAGGAAACAGGGCACATTCGCCAAGAAGATCGGCAAAGAAAATCGGTCCCCGGACCCCTCGGGGGGTTCAGATCCATGTTGAATGGTCCGGGGGCCCGAAACGGGCTCCTGGAGACCGAACAAAAAAAAACTCGGACGCCAAAACCTCGAACCTCGCCCCTCCCTCCTGCTCGCCAGAGCCAGCGTGGGCCACCTCGGACCCCCTGGCCGGCTCCGACGCCAAAATCATGCACGGTACCGCTGCTGGGCCGAGAGCCGACGACGCCGCCGGAGACGCCAACGCGGCACGGTGCACGGGAGTCGCCCGCGGACCTTCGCCAGGAGCGGCCACCTCGCCTGCCTGGGCCAGCACGAGCTCGCCCGAGCCAGCGTCCCTCAACGTCAGCGCGACGCCCGATCCGCCCTCCAGGGCCGCCAGGGGCTCGATGCCCTCGTAGCCATCGAGGGGCAGCTCTGCAGGGTCGTCCTCGCGAGGCCAGAGCTTACGTGTACGCGTCCACCGCCCGGAGTTCTGGGAAAGCGGCTCCTGCACGACCCTGAGAGCCGACGCAGCGAACAGAGATGCAGCGCCATGAAAAACACGCCCAGAGGCCTAGACCCATTTTTCTGCGCCATCTTTCGAGCCGGATCGATCCGTGGGGGCCCGGGGGGCCCGAATAACGGCGAAAACGCCCGGCTCGAAAGAATTGAGACGCCAGGGTCTCAGGGCAGCCCCCGCCCCGGACCGTCCTGCACCTTCCGGCCACGCCTGACGCACAAGTTCAGCGCGACCACGGACACGGCGACCAGGACGACGACCAGCGAGGCCAGCAAGACCTCGGTGGGCCCCAGAAACGGCAGGGCCGGTATCTTACTGTTTCAGAGAGAATGTCTTGAACATGGAAACGGCGAAAAACGCGACCAGAAACTGCAAAAAGACGGCTCCAGGATTGGAACCAGAGCCAGAACATGCAAAGACACGGTGACGGAACTGTTAAAAAACGGCGTCGGAACCGGCAAGTAAACCGGCAAAACGAAGCCGGTAAAACAACTGCCCTGTCGTTTCCAGGGCCCACTAAGAGCAGGACCAGCTCCGCGACAACCGAGCGCCCTCCGCCCTCGGCGACCTCCTCGGCCTGCGTCGCCAGGAGCGCCTCGGAGGCGTTCGGCTGCAACGTGGCCTCCGCAGTGGTTTTAGTGACCCTTTGGGAGGAGGAGGAGGAGGAGGAGGAGGAGGAGGAGGAGGAGGCGGAGGAGGAGGAGCAGATGGAGGAGCAGGAGGAGGAGGAGGAGGAGATGGAGTAGCAGGAGGAGGAGGATGAGGAGGAGGAGGAGGAGGAGGAGGGAATCCAACTTAGAAGGGCCAAATTCATTGGGGACAGAGGGCCTTCTCTGAGGATGCATCAAACCAAGCCGCCCTGAACTTAGATCCCTCATGCAAAGATGTGGACCTGAGTGAGGCCACGTCTTCACTGTGATGTTAGGGTTCGAGGCTCTTTTATTCTCGATGACGCAGGAGAGCCCAGAAACGAATCGACAAGTCGGATCGGCGATCGACATGAATCGTACTGGCGAAACTCGGAAGCCAAGTCGGGAAAAGTCGAATCGGCGGAGACCGTCAGGCCAATAAGGCCTCCGCTGAGAGAAACCAGAGGCTCAAATCTGAACCCGAAGCCGAATCGAATCGGAATCGGAATCGCTCGAAATTGAATCGAACCCAGATCCCCGACGTCACGATTTTTTATAACGTCGACCCCAAAGGTTGCGACCCATTCCCCAGGACCGGTTTTTCATCCTGAGTTGATTTTAGACGGTCCCAAGGCCTGGCAAGGGCACCCAGAGGCCGCAAAGGGCGAAGAAAACCTCCCGTCGTTACTTTTTTCATGACGCGAGGGCGTCTAGGAATCGAGCCGGAGGCATCGAAAAGAGCCCTGCCTCTGGGGAAGCAAAAGGTACAGAAACCGCTACTCCCCAGACCTCTCCTGGGGTGCGCTCTGACACGGATTTCGAAGCAAATCTGGCGGTGGCAACGAGAGCATCCCAGGAGGCCCGAAAAAGGGATAACGGGCGAAGAGTAGAGATATGGGTACCTTCTCCTACTCCGAGGACACGAGAGAGGAGAGGGGGGATGAGAGGGAGGAGGAGAGAGAAGGAGGGAGGAGGAGAGGGAGGGTGGAGAGGGAGGAGGAGGAGGAGGAGGAGAGGAGGAGGAGGAGGAGGAAGAGGAGGAGGAGGAGGAGGAGGAGGAGGAGGAGGAGGAGGAGGAGGAGGAGGAGGGAGGAGGAGAGAGGAGGAGGAGGAGAAGGAGGAGGAGGAGGAGGGAGGAGGAGAGAGGAGGAGGAAGGGAGGAGAGGGAGGGAGGAGAGGGAGGTGAGGGAGAGAAAGGAGGGGGGAGGAGAGAGAGGAGGAGGGAGGGAGGAGGAGGAGGAGGAGGAGGCGGAGAAGGGAGGAGGGAGGGAGGAGGAGGAGAGGGCGAGGAGCCCCGCCTCCAGGCGCACAAGGGAGAAGGTCGCGGGCGCGAGCGAGGCGAAGCGCTGCGCCGCGGCCACGAAGCGGGCCTCGAAGGCGGCGCGGGCCACCGGGCTCTCGAGGGCCTGCAGCGGCGCGGGCGGGCAGAAGCTGAAGGCCAGGCCCCTGCAAGCGGGGCGCTAAGTGGGGGGCAACGAGAGGCGGGGGGGGGGCCTGGCACAGGGGGGGATGCACCGACCTGGAATCGGCGATACATCGCCCATTGATCGGCGATAGGCCCCCGATAGTGGATCCGCACCTTCCTGGGTGGGTTGGGGCCATCAGACCCCTATCGGCGATCAGTGGGCGATTGGGGGTCGATGCATCCCTCCCCTATGCCTGTCCCTCCCTTTCGTTGCCCCTGAGTTAGTAAACCCAGACATAACCGCGTCGTAAAAATATCAGGACGGGAGGTACACCATCGGTGTACCCCTAAACTGAAATCCCAGAGATGCAACGTATTGAAAAAAATACGACGGAGGAGTTTCGCTGTTTTCGGCCCCTGGGAGCCCTCGCCAGGCTTCGGGACCGTCAAAAACTACTCAGGATGAAAAACCGGTCCCGGGGAAAGGGTCGGGACTTCCAAGGGGCCCCGCACTGAAAAAATCAGGACGTCGCATTTCTGGTTAGTAAACGGGGCGGTGGCCAAGGGGCCTCTTCAAGCGAGAGCGGGGCGACAGGGAGACTTGCCTCGCGCTCGTGCGTACTGAATCGGGACGGCAAGAGCGTCGACACATCCTCGGAACTCTGGGCGGGGGGGGTCCACCTTGCACCTGCGCGCGGCAAACCCATGTTTTGAAAGCACCACGGAGAACTCGCCCTCAGCTACCGTCGTTCAGGGCTTGACGATCTCTGACGTCCCTCGACTCGCGCTAGAGCGGCCCCGATCTGCTCCAAGTTTCGCTTGATACTTTCTTGGATGTACCTGGATTTACATGGAACTACCTGGATTTATCTGCATGTGCCTGGATTTACCTGGCTCGATCCCCACAAGTCGATTGGCGTAAAGTCGTCAAGCCCTTAGAGGCACCGGCGCGTTTCCTAACGCCCTGCTTGCAGGGGCTTGGGAAGACCAGGTCGAGGTGCAGCAGCGCCGCGCCCACCGAGCCGCCGATGGGCTCGGCGGCGAGCGCGGGGGGGGGGAAGCAAGGGGAAGGAATTTCCCCTGAGATCCCATGGTGAGCGTTTTTTCTTCGGCGTTTCGACGTTGGGCAGAAGGGGGGGGGCTGGGAGCTTCACGAACGCCGCTGGCAGAAGTGTATGCGCCCATGTCACGCCATCACCTCCGTACAACGTCTCCCAAGCTACTCATGCCCCGCATTGTGCAGAGGTTGGGTACGTCGCCAGGGTAATTTGCCTATGGTGAGCGTTTTTTTATTTTGCGTTTCGTGATTGGGCGGAAGAAGGGAGAGGGGTGGGTCTGGCTCCGGACCTCTGCTTGGCGCGACTGTTTGCAACAGCGCGTCCTATGCGGGAGGCTTCACCTGCTCGGAACAGGCGCCAAAAACAGCCCAGATCTACTCCATGGGGGGGAGGGGGTGGGTGCGAGGGCCCGCGCCGATCGGCAAAACAATGAATAAGAAAACGATCACATGGCGACTCCAGTGTTTCGAGCCGTGCGTTTCCGCTGATTTTTCGGCCCGAGAAAGATGATCGATCCGGCCTCACAGATCGATCAGGTTTGAAAAATGGCGCAGAAAGATGGGGTCTATGTTGCGATTTTGTCGCAACGTCGGATCTCAGGGGGGGGGAAGTGAGAAGGTGAAGGCCTTCTCGGGGGGCGGCGGGACGTCTCAGAAGGCCTCGCGCCTTCTGAGGAGATTGTTCTGTGCCTTGGGGGCAGGCTCCGCAGACCTCGCAGAAGGCCGCGGGGGACTTCCGAGCCCTCTGAGAAGGCCCCCACCCCCGTTCTCTCATGGGCAAATTTTCCACCACCACTACCATATGTAGCACGGGGGAAGTGAGGATGAGGCTCCTCCTCCTCCTCCTCCTCCTCCTCCTCCTCCTCCTCCTCCTCCTCCTCCTCCTCCTTCCCTCTCCTGCCTGTGGCAAGGGTGGTGGAACACGGGCCCCCCCTTCTCGCTCCCCCCCCCGGGCTCGCCGCCGGATGGTGGCCGGGGCCAGCGTGGCGCTGCCGATCGACACGTCGCTGGCGTTGCAGCCGACGCCGGCCCCCACCGCCCAGCGCAGCACGCCCTCGAGCGGCGCGGAGGGCCCGGCGGCGAAGTGCCCGCCGTGCAGCTCGGGGGAGGCGTAGACCGCCACGTTGAACTCGGCGGTGTAGCCGGGCTCGCAGGGCTCCTGCGGGGAGTTGGGCGCCCGAGTTATCCGGGGTAACTCGGGCCCGGGGCAACTCGGGTTCGGATTCCCGAAAAACGAACCCGAGTTAGCCCTGACGCGAGTTATCCCTGATGATTCGGGTCTCTGAGGGATGGCGCTCCAGGCGCACTGGAAGTCAAAAAGTCCACCCCCACAGCAACCACCCCGGCACGCGAAGTCGTTTCGCAAAAACGCGCCCACAGAAGAGATCCAATGGCTCGCGGACTGCGTCGCCAATTGCTGCGCCAGTGTTCCCGCCAGTTGCTAGAAGTCTCGTTTCAAATGCAAAGAATGACGCACTGGTTGGTTGGCGCGCTTTGTGGCGCGCTTTGCCAGCGCTGCTCTGTATTTGGTTGACGCGTTTTTCGAGCACACGCACACTATGACAGGAGCAGCAACAGCAAAAACAGCAGCAACAAACCTAACAACGGCACTACGAACAACAACAGCAGCAGCAACAACAACAACAACAGCAGCAACAGCAGTAGCAACAACAACAACAACAACAACAACAACCACAACAACAACAACCACAACAGCAGTAGCAACAACAACAACAACACCAACCACCACCACCACCACAACAACAAACACAACACCAACAACAACAACAGCAACAACAACAACAACAACAATAACAACAACAACAACAACAACAACAACAACAACAACAACAACAACAACAACAACAACAACATTAGCACAACCAGTAACAGCCACAGCCACAGCAACAGCAACAACAACAACAGCAGCCACAACAGCAGCAGCAGCAACCACCACAACACCAACAAGCATTCTAAGGCTGTTGGTGTTTATTCGATCGCGTGCCACGCAACACGTATATCCTAAACCCTCGATGCCCGGCCTCTTTATCTTCGACCGTATCCCCTCGGGGGTATCTCTTCATTACCTGCCACGCACATTTAGCGCAGCCCCGAAAACAGGGGAAGGGGGACGGATTGGGAAAGAGAAGGATGGACCACGAGAAAGGGCCTCTCGGAGCAAATCGCGAGGAAGCATCGAGCGGCAGACCTTGTCATCGCGGCTGCGCCCCCACTAATTTGGCTGAGTTGCCAGGAAGTCTCCAGCGAGAGCGCTGTTCCTGCGTTCGGGTCTCTCCCTGGCCAGAGCCTCCCGGAGTAAATCGAAAAGAAATATCAACCCAGAGCCTTGTCGTCGCGGCTCGGCATCCGCGAACTTGATTGAATTCCGAAGACGTCTCAGGCGAGAGCGCCGTTCCAGGGGCCTCTGCGGGCTGGGGCCTCTGTAGGCGCGCTTGGGGCCTCTGTGGGCAGCGCGCTGGGGCCTCAGTGGGCAGCGCGCTGGGGCCTCTGCGGGCGCGCCTGGGGCCTCTGTGGGCTGGGCCCTGTAGGCTGTGTCGGGGGCCTCAGTGGGCAGCGCGTCGGGGCCTCTGTGAGCGCGCTTGGGGCCTCTGCGAGCTGGGGCCTCTGTGGGCGCGCTTGGGGCCTCTGTGGGCTGTGTCGGAAGGCCTCTGTGGGCTGCGTCGGGGGCCTCATGCAGCGCGCGGGGCATCTGCGGGCTGGGGCCTCTGTGGGCGCGCTTGGCGCCTCTGTGGGCTGTGCCCGGGGCCCTCAGTGGGCAGCGCGCTGGGGCCTCCGTGGGCGCGCTTGGGGCCTCCGTGGGCTGCGCCGGAGGGCCTCAGTGGGCAGCGCGCGGGGGCCTCTGTGGGCACGCTTGGGGCCTCTGTGGGCGCGCGTGGGGCCTCTGTGGCAAGGGGGGCCTCAGTGGGCAGCGCGCTGGGGCCTCCATGGGCACGCTTGGGGCGGGGGCTTGGGCATTTGTGGGCTGCGTCGGGAGCCTCAGGGGGCAGCGCGCTGGGGCCTCTGTGGGCACGCTTGGGGCGCGGGCCAAGGCCTCTGTGGGCGCGTTAGGGGCCTCTCTGGGCTGCGTCGGGGGCCTCAGTGGGCAGCGCGCGGGGGCCTCTGAGGGCGCGCCTGGGGCCTCTGTGGGCTGGGGCCTCTGTGGGCTGGGTTGGGGGGCCTCATAGGGCAGCGCGCTGGGACCTCCGTGGGCGCGCTTGGAGCCTCTGTGGGCTGTGCCGGAGGGCCTCCGTGGGCAGCGCGCTGGGGCCTCGGTGGGCGCGCTCGGGGCCTCTGCGGACTGGGGCCTCTGTGGGCGCCCTTGTGGCCTCTGTGGGCTGTGTTGCGGGGCCACCGCGCTGGGACCTCTGTGGGCGCGCTTGGGCCCTCTGTGGGCTGGGGCCTCTGTGGGCAGCGTGCTGGGGCCTCTGTGGGCGCGCTTGGGGCCTCTGCGGGCTAAGGCCTCTGTGGGCAGCGTGCTGGGGCCTCCGTGGGCGCGCTTGGGGCCTGTGTGGGCTGTGTCGGAGGACTCGGTGGGCAGCGCGCGGGGGCCTCTGTGGGCGCGCTTGACGACTCTGTAGGCTGGGGCCACGGTGGGCGCGCTTGGGGTCTCTGTGGGCGTTGTCGACGGGCCTCAGGGGGCAGCGCGCTGGGGCCTCTGTGGGCACGCTGAGGGCCTCTGTGGGCTGGGGCCTCAGTGGGCACACGCTGGGGCCTCTGCGGGTGCGCTTGGGGCCTCTGTGGGCGCGCTTGGGGCCTCTGTGGGCTGGGGCCTCTGTGGGCGCGTTAGGGGCCTATCTGGGCTGCGTCGAGGGGCCTCAGTGGGCAGCGCGCGGAGGCCACGGTGGGCGCGGGGCCTCCGTGGGCGCGCTTGGGGCCTCTGTAGGAAGTCGGGGCCTCAGTGGGCAGCGCGCTGGGGCCTTCGTGGGCACGTTCGGGGCCTCTGTAGGGTGTGTCGGGGGCCTCAGTGGGCAGCGCGTCGGGGCCTCTGTGAGCGCGCTTGGGGCCTGTGCAGGCTGGGGCATGCGCTGGCGCGCTTGGGGCCTCCGTGGGCTGCGCCGGAGGGCCTCGGTGGGCAGCGCGCGGGGGCCTCTGTGGGCACGCTTGGGGCCTCTGTGGGCGCGCCTGGGGCCTCTGTGGAAAGGGGGGCCTCAGTGGGCAGAGCGCTGGGGCCTCCGTGGGCACGCTTGGGGCGGGGGCTTGGGCATTTGCGGGCTGTGTCGAGAGCCTCAGTGGGCAGCGCGCTGGGGCCTCAGTGGACGCGCTTGGGGCCTCTGAGCTGGCTGGGGCCTCTGTGGGCGCGCCTGGGGCCTCTGAGGGCTGGGGCCTCTGTGGGCTGTGTCGGGGGGCAACGCGCTGGGCCCCCTGTGGGCGCGCTTGGGGCCTGTGGGCAACGCGGGGGAGGCTCTGTGGGCGCGCTTGGCGCCTATATGTGGGCTGTGCCGGAAGGCCTGCGGGCAGCATGCTACAGTCCCTGTGGGTTTACTCTGGGCCTCAATGAGTTGTGTGTTGGGGGCCTCAGTGGACAGCGCGCTGGGACCTTTGTGGGCTGCGTCCGAAGGCATCAGTGGGCAGCGTGCTGGGGCCTCAGGGGGCACGCTTGAGCTTTTGTGGGCTGTGTCCGAAGGCCTCAATGAGCAGCGCGCTGGGGCCTTTGTGATTGGGGGCCTCTCTGGCCAGGCCGTGTAGGAATACTAAAGGGGATGTCGAGCGGGAGCCCATGTCGTCGCAGGCGGGCCTCCGGCGCCGCTACTGAATTGCAGTCTCGGGCCACGGGCTCTCGAAGTGTCACGCACGGGAGCCCTTGTCGTCGCGGCAAAGCCCACACCAAATTGACTGAATGACGAGGGCGTCTCGATCCAGAGTACCACTCTTGATTTCGGGGGCCTCTCTGGCAAGGGCCTCTGCGAATGCATCTTGAGGAAGAATCGAACGAGAGCTCGTGTCGTCGCATTGGGGGCCTCCACCAATTGGACTAAACTACGCGAAATTATCGAGCGAGAGCGCCGCTCCTCAGTTCGGGGGCCTTCCTGGCCAGGGGCTCGATGAGTAAATCGTGAGGAAAAATAGAGCAGGAGCCCTTGTCGTCGTGGCTGGGCCCCCGCCAACTTGATTGAATTGCGAGGAAAGAGCCGTTCCTGAGTTCGAGGGCCTCTCTGGCCACCGTGTCTCGAGGTAAGTTGTGAGGAAGTGTCGAGCAGGGCCCACTTTGAGGGTCAAGCCAATGCTCGAGCGGGAGCCTCGTTTCACAGAAAATAGAACCGGCGTCGAGGCAAAAACGCCTGGAACCGTTTCCGGAGATCAACAATAATCGTTCTCTCGTCATGAATATTCAACAACAACAACAACGACAACAACAACAACATCAACAATTATTATAAGACTGTTCGTTCTTATCTGCTCGCGTGTCATTCAACATGCATATCCCAAACCCTGGATACCCGCCCTCTTCGTCTTCGATCGTACCCCCTTTCTGGGGGTATATTCATTCCCTGCCACGTGTGGTTTGTGAAGCCCTTGAGCAGAAACGGGGCCACGAAGGGCTGAGAGGGGGCCACGACTGGCGACAGCGGGGCCACGCAAGGCATGCATATGGGGCCACGACGGGCGCGAACGAGCGGGGGCCACGAAGGGCATTCGTATATGGGGCCACAAAGGGCGACAGCGGGGCCACTGAGGGCAGCAAAGGGGCCACGAAGGGCAGCGAGAGGGCCACGAAGGGCGACAGCGGGGCTACGAAAGCATGAGTATGGGGCCGCGACCGGCGACTGCGAGCAGGGGCCACAAAGGGCGTGTAATGCGGGGCCACAATGGGCAGCGACGGGGCCACTGAGGGCAGCAACGGGGCCACGATGGGCAGCGAGCGAAGGCGACCGCGGAACCAGTACGGGCAGCGAGGGGCATCGAAGGCGGGCGAAGGGCAGCGAGCGGCGACTGTAGTCCCTAACGGGCTGGTCGGGCGGGCAGGCCCAAACGGGCAGGTCGAGCGGGCGGGTCGTTGAAGCGTAAATTCTGCTTGAACCGCCAGGCAATATGCAGCGGGAGCGCGATTCCTGAGTGTCGAGGAGCGGCATCTGAATGAATTGTGAGGAAGTATCCGGCGGGAGCCGCGATTCGGCGGTAAGTTGCGAGGAAGTCCCCACCGAGAGCGCGATTCTTCAA